CCCCAAAACCCCAAAACCCCAAAACCCCAAAACCCCAAAACCCCACTTTGAATGATTTATATTGGTAATAGATTTTGGATATTATAATTATAAAACAAAGCATGGGGAAAACTGGTTCCTCTCCAGACTCTACTATGATTGAAAAAGGAGATCCCCCTTACAAAAGTAGAGCATCTGATGAATCATTATTCTGAAGGATACTAATATGTTTGGGCTAGAAATTATTAACAGATTTTTTTTCACAATTAGGGAATAAGTTTTAAAAATATTGCAGATATACGATTACTTCTCAAAAGACTGACAGATTTGAATAAGGTCAGGAAAATTCACGATATTACCTTTGGAGCAAAATGTACCCTATATCTCGAAATTAAAGATCTAAAGAAAAATAAGACTCTCATTAGAAAGGTTCTTGAAAATCTCAAGGCATCTTACTTGCCAAACTTGTGATTGGAAGCACTAGGAAAAAGACACTTAGACTAGATTTTTATGTTAATAGTTTATGAAAGATTATTGCCACCTCAGCTCAAAACGTTTTCATAAATAGTTGGCTTCTTCCTCAAAAGCAGTTCTTGAGAATTCTTGTCCCATGAAACAAATAGTGTTATATAATTTTTCGATGAAGTGAAATAAAAATTGGCACTCTTGACTGTTTGAAGAATACAATACCATTAATCACGGATCTTAAATTTCAAAATGAAAAATTATATAAGAGCAGGATGATCTAGATTGGAGTCATCTTATCAATAAGATTGCATACTCAAACTTACAGTTATAATTAAACAGATTGAGAATTTATAACAATCAAAACTGATATTATTCTGGACAGAAATTCTGAAAGAAAATTTTTGCTGTAAATGAAATTATGGTAGTAGTAACTTAGTATGTTATCTCTAAGTTGTGCTTAATGACCCATATAAATTAATACTCCCCAAATTCTGCTAAAATGCTCATTTCCATTAATTAGTTTTACACTTTCAATAATACTCGTAGATAAAGGGGTTTTGGGGTTTTGGGGTTTTGGGGTTTTGGGG